CACCAAGTCTCTAGAGCATACCTTTTGAAATTCTCCTGCGTATACACGCAGTTATCTCCCTTTTTATTTAAACCCATGATATTCTTATTGTTTACTCGCTTCGTTCAAACTCTCACCCTATAGTTTCTGCATCTATGATTTTCTTCTTTCATTCGAGACAACTCTACTAGTATATCAAGGTTACACGTCCATGTCTCTATGAATAGAGCAAAGTTGCTCTGTAAAAGAAGGGTGGAGTTAGCCTATAAGACCTTAAGAAATAATCAACAGATTCATAAAATTAAGTTCTCTGTAGGTTTCCAAGGTGAAAAAGTATTCACAATTGGAGGCTTTCGGTAACACCACGTGGTAGCCTTACTAAGAAAACGACTGTCTATATATCATTTCATAATAGTTCATAGTAATCATATTAATATAAAGGTTCGGAGAATGAATGGAAAATATAATCGTCTTAATTTCAGGCGTGGTGTGGCCATGGAAATAATTACTGCTAAATAAGGTAAGCATGATTATCTGCTTTACAATTTGCGCAAACAGGAAACGTATGGGTTTTGTGCACTTTAGAAGTAATTTTGTATTATATTGGACATGTAACATTAATTTTCAGTTATATACTTGGTTAGCTTCATATTCAGTGGGGAATCCGCCCATAAATTCAGATAGAGTCGACCTCTATGAAGGCTCTCTTAAATCATCCCCGAGAATCATGGATGATTCTTTTGTGTTAGTCTCTACTCGGTCTTCTTCTTATCGAGTCACTACACAAGTCCCGTCCAGTGGTCCACACAGGCTTTGGCACGGAAATTAACGGCTTCCAGGTCATCTTGGGTGCATGGCTCTGGCAGGAGTGGGCAGACTAGCAGGTGTTCCATTGTCTGTTCCTGGCCGCATTCACATGCCGTTTGTTCGTCTCCTAGACCCCACCTCTGCATTAGGACTCTGCATCGACCGTAGCCAGTTCTTAGGCGGTTGAGGCTAAGCCAGGTAGGCCAAGTCTCACTGGAGCCGGTTGCGAGGGATTCCTTCGGGCTGAGGGAGAGTTTATGTGGAGTTGTCTGAAGGTGGTTAGACCCAGGGCGCGTACGCAGGGGGGGGGGGGGGGGGGGGGGTTTGGGGGGTTAAACCCCCCCCTTTGGAAATTTTTTGTGTGTAAACCCCCCTAAAAAAAACCTAAAACCCCCCCCCCCCCCCCCCCCTTTTGGATTTTTTTTTTTTTTTTTTTTTTTTTTAATATTAAAAAAAAAAAAAAAAAAAAAAAAATTTATCCCATGGCCGACCTAAAAAAGGTAACCCTACCCCCCCCCAACGGAGCAAAATGTCAAATTTCCAAATTTCGAGACCAAAAAAAAAAAAAAAAAAGTGTCCTCTTACCCCCCCCCCCCCCCCCCCCCCCCCCCCCCCCCCCCCCCCCCCCCCCCCCCCCCCCCCCCCCCCCCCCCCCGCTTATTTAGCGGTCGGCTGAGTCGTTGCGATTTTTTTGGGACCAAAAAAAAAAAAAAAATGTGTCCTCTTACCCCCCCCCGCTTATTCAGCGGCTGGCTGAGTCGTTGCGAAATTTTCGGACCGATTTATAAATGTTAAAACCCCCCCCTTGAAAAAATCCTGCGTACGCGCCTGGTTAGACCACAAAGTCATCCTTTGGTTGTGAGGGCTAGTATTAAGAGGCTCTACCGAGTGCAGAAAGCTGTACTCGGTGACCATTTACATTTATTTTGTTAACATCTGCGTCAAGTATACCATCGTTGTTCGTGTTTTCAACGGAATGCTGGCTCAAGTAACCTAACTCTAAGTTCGTAGATCAGATAGCAAATCATAGCGTGTTCTACGAAAGTACTCAAAACTTGATAACATGATTACCTGAGCAATCGTTACAAGCCCTTTAGAAAAGGTGTAAATATTATATACAATGACGTTTTATGAGATCCGAACATGATTTCTATTGGACAAACAATATGATATTGAAATTGCCCTTGAGTTGTCTCAGCGATTGTGTTATTTTGATTTATCATAAAAACAATCCAATTGTATTCGAAAGAAATATGATTAAAAGCTTGATACCATGTAAAACTCAAATTAATTTTTTTAAATTTTTTTATTTAAAGAAAAATTGAGATTTTTGTTCGAAAGAAAATTCACCGAAGAGATGGAGGATACATTTTTTTTGTTCACAATTTTCTACTAAACACAGTCCTTGAGTTCAATCTGTTGGCAGTTGATTCCATGCCAAAGAACTTGAATTTGAAACGGACCGTTTTTTCATCATGATTTGGTCGGTTCCATGGAGGTAACAAGTTTCGCTGCTCTTTACTTTTGATAGGGATGATTGATAAATGAGAAAATATGGAGAGAAAAAATATATATGGCAGTCGATTGTTTATAAGATCACACATAAACCTTCCAATCACATGTTAATGGGTTTTTTCCCCCTTCGTATTTCTAGAATCTGTAGATGAATGAATAGCCAAGCTATATGGTGCGTCAAAATTTTGAAAAATATTGTTCGTACCAATCATAATTACCGTCTATTCTGTTTTTTTTTATAATGGCCACCTATATAGTTTTCGTATTTAATTCAACTCTCTCTTTTATCGTAATTTTGTTTGGTGTCCCTTTTTTTTTGTCAGGGTTTTTATTAATATTATTATCATTTTATCATGCCAGGTTACCAAATCCTGTTTTTTTTTATTCGGCCCCATCCTGTAAAACCCGCGTTTCTCAGAATTTTTTAAAGGAAAAAAATAAATCATGTCGCTCAGGTGTGGAACAGGGTGGCTCCCTTTTGGAATACTTTATGTAATAATCAGAGGAAAAAAAACTCGGGTGTGAACTAAACGTAGACACTCCCCAAGGAAATTGTTTGCACTGACTTAAAGATATTCATTAAAAATGAAAAACATTTCGTGTATATCGAGAAATGCTAAGGAACAAATATGGGCTTTTGATGAAAAATAGTGCAGTTAATCAAAAATGAAACAAAGCAAAACATATACATAATTAATGAGGCACTTATCCATGAAATTATATTATATTTACTTATGGGCCTATATATATTCTGCATACCCCTATTTATACATGGACATGTTATTTTATAGTTATATACAATATACCACGTACTTGCATACTTGGTTCCGGAAGTCCCTAATGGACTTATAAATCTATCCTTCTCGGTGAATCATATTAAAAAAAAAAATCATATCATTACAATATCATTTTGAGTTTTAATATCTGGTACTTTTAAAGTCAATGTTCACATGATCTATTAAAGGTACATGTATATTAGTTAGGCCTAGTTAGTGAAATTTACACGGGTTAATAGTTAATGTACACTCTTCATATACGTCTGTGAAGGGGAAACAAACAGAGGGCGGTTGCCGGGGCGATTGTATGATACACGTAGGCCTTCATACAGCGTTTTGTTGAACTTTTGTTTACTTCAAATTAAAAGTAAATTACAAATGTAATAATGTAAACATGGTAAAAGGAAAGTGTGGCAAGTATCAGAGGATAACAATATTTGGGCCAAAGAAGCAAAATATTATCACTATGAGTGATAGTTTTAAAATATGTATATTGCCATTATAAACAGCAGCAACTACAACAAAATAAACTCTCACTCTTAGATTCCCAGGTCAGCCGTAACCGCCAGCTGTTTAATAGGGAAACCCCCTGCAAATTGGAGTTGACTAGTCTTTATTCATTTTTCTCAATATTGTGGAGTAAGCAGTATAGGCTATTTAAGACATTATTCCATTCGTTATTTGACAAAATTCTTTTTATTGGATTATTTTAAATATTTAAGCACACCATATTTAAAAAAAATGATGATATCACTATACAATTAGGTTGCATTGGACTGCAAGAAAAGCAAGAAACCCTTGAAAAGCGCATACATTTGGCGGCTCTCTGGGCCATGCAAGATCGAGTCCACCTGTACCCGTATTCCGATTCCGAGGCCGAGGGCTAGGGAGGGAGTCGGGCTCGGGGTACCGGTGCATATTGTAGCACTCTTTCTTATATCACAGTCATGCACAGCATGCGCAGCAGGACCTCGGATCAGTTCTCGTGCAGTGCATTGGTGTGATTCTTTTGACTGTTTGCTTTGCAAAATACCAAACAACCTCGGCGAATGTGTGAACAAGTGAGTTGTAGTAATGAATTATGTTTTCGTCAATGTCAGAATGACAAGAGAGTTTTTACAAGTACGTTTCATAGATTTAATTTTCAACCTTGAGCATGAGCAGTTGAGTTAAGTGGGCGTAACTCAAACCGTAGCCCTCGCCTCGGCTCGCCGACTGTCCGCTTCATTGCTCCTGTCCGCTTCATGAAAATGAAATCTCATTCCTGAAGAAGATATGTGTAGAGGAATGAAGGACGAAATTATGTTTAAAACTAATATCATGTATATATTAATATAGTCAATGTTTCAAGGAGAGTCATGCTTTTTGTTCGCAAGTTTTTAAACTGTTAATGTTATTTCAGATTCATGTATGTTCTATTAGTATATTTTCTTTTTTTCTTTCTCTCTTTGTCTATTTCCAGTTTGCATTTGGATGTCAACGTTAAGCCCTGTCTCGATAAATATCACTTTTGTGTGCTAATTAGCTAAGTCATTAACACCCAAGATGTCTAGACAAATTGCTCTTGTGAACCGAAACCTTCGGGCTTTCAAAGAAGCCAGCAGGAAAGTTTCTACACTCAAAAACTTGAGAACATTTTCATCTTGTTGTGAGGCATCCTTGCGCTCCATCTCCTGCCAAGATGGGGCCAGAGCTCCCCTCTCACCCACCTCCAGCTCCAGCATCTTGCAAAGGAGTCGGAGAGCTGCATGTACATCAGCAATCATTGCCAAGCATCGTCCATCTCCGAGCATCTTCAGAACATGTTCGACTCCATGTAACTACAGCATCACAAAACCGTTATGGAAGAACACTAAAGATGCGTTGAACGTGACCGTGTCGCCATGGCAACAGTCGTCGAGGTCCTTCTTGTCGGCAGTCTCTATGACAGGCTTCAACGATTATGAGTTGGGCCGCAAGGAGTTCAAAATTGATGTTCCAGAGTATTTTAATTTTGCCAGCGATGTGATGGATGAATGGGCCAGGAAGGAAGAGGTGTGTAAAAATGTTTTAATTTAGCTCTCTAAGATTCATAAGAAATAATCGTTCGTTCGTGTCTCCTTAGAGCAAGATTAATGTATCTTGATCTTCGAAATAGTTGCTGCAACCAGCCGTGTCAGACAAGTTGCCCCGGGGTGCGAGATAGGACTCTTGTAGCGTGCCCCAAGAAAAAATGAAATAAAGAAATAATGATTTGCATATATTATACTGAAATCATTAATATTTTAGATAACGCATTTACAAATGGAGCATAGATTTGCTTATCTTGAAAAGTATGAATTTGGAAAGGAAGAAGTTTAATTCCCTTTCCTTCTGCCTTCAAAATTTTATTTGATACAGTTGGCAACTATCATACCGTACTGTCAAAATGGGAATTGCTCACAAAATTGTTGGAAGATTTCTTGCGTCTATCCTTACACTTATGCAAAAATAGTAAATACAGATTTTACATAATATAGGTTAAGCCATAGTGGAAAGTGATAGTGCATGCTGTTCAGGCTTCGTTTGGTATACATGGTGTATATATTTTGTCTCTTTTTCACTTTATTTTTCCCAGTGTATCTTTTATGAAGAAGTCAGTTACAGAAATTTGCATTTTTTCTCTTTCTTTTTCACAGACGGGAGAGAGGTCCACCAGCAACCCAGCTTTTTGGTGGATAGATACCAAAGGAAATGAAATCAAGTGGTCCTTTAGGGATCTTGCAGAAAAGTCAAAAAAGTAAGCAATATTCTATGTCTTCTGTTCAGAACCATAAGGGCTTTAACTCTGTGTTAAAGTATGAGTTAACATCCTTCTAGCTCCAAACGGACGATGTTTGGGAGATACTGTTTAATTATCTATATAAGGCTTCCAAGTGGTACAATAAATCAGTGTATTCAATATCTTTAGCGCAGTACCCGGATGACTGACCAATATTGTTTTTGTATTGCTCAGTCATCCAGGAACTTTAATTATCGATATCGATATCACACACACACAAAAATCCATATTTATCGAGGTAAGTCAAATTTTGTTAATTCGCTAGTCAGCCTGATAAAGATAATAATAATATTATATGGCTTTGTTTTTGTGTGATACAAGAATATATTGCTCTTGCTATGACAATATTGGACTTGCCTCCAACTTGTTCAATATTGTCATAGCTCAAGCAATATATTCTTGTATCACACTCAAAGCCATCTAATATAATATAAATGTGACCCCTATAGAGGTAATCTAGTCACGAAGGTCAAAGGTACACAGAAAAGTGTTCCAGGACACATCCCAGTTTAATTACATGTACCTGTGTGACAGTTTTGGTGTCAAAGAGCAGACACCTTCCCTGGACGTTTAATGGAAAACTAAAGCTAGCTGCCAGGTTTTTGATCACGAAAGGATGCTGTTTTGGCGATCGCCGCATCTAGTAGAACTTTCGTTTTTGAGCAGTTGCAATTTTCAATTTCACACATTAAGTTTTGATACTAACCATGGGGTATTTTCTGAGTTGCATAACATTTGTAATCTTTGACATTAAATTAACAATTAATGAATAGTTGTCGTTCAAAATCATTTCTAAGCTTTGAAATTGAATTAAAATGAAAACATCATAAAAAAAAGTATTTCCAGTGAGTTTTTTACCAAACTGCAAATGATGAATTTATATGAACAGAGACAAGAGAAGGAAATATAGATGAATGGATGAAATTGAAAATGTTGATGAACATGAAAATAGTGTGTGATTTCAAATGATAAGTTACAAATTGCATCACTTTCAATATAAAATGAAAACAAAATATTAATGTCACTTGAAATTTCCACTTGATTTGTTGTTTTATACTGAAAATTCAATGTTTTTATGTTTATGTTTGATTTTTTGAATGTTTTTTTTCCTGTAACCAAATCAGGGTTGCCAATATGCTGCAGAAGAGCTGTCATATCAAGCAGCATGATAAAGTGATGGTCATCCTACCACGCATTCCAGAATGGTGGCTCCTCAATCTGGCTTGTCTAAGAATAGGTAAGAAACTCAAGCATATCAAGGGACTATCTTATGGAAGTCTTAGTCTTAAAGTAGTCACCCGAAGAATCAAAAGTGTTTTGAATTGATGCAAAATTCATATCACTGCGAAGGGGAAGCCTTACTGATCAAATATAACTCCCCTCTTCAAAATATGTTTGGGGTCCACAATAATCATCTCTCAAAAACATCTGAAGTGGGAGGATTTTGAAAAGCACATAAATGGCTAGTTAAAAATGATCCTCACAAAATATAAAAATTTACAATAACTTTGGTGCATAATTTACATAAAATCACGATTACAAAACAAGGGAAGATAAAGAAGATGGAGAAAAGAAAAAGGAAAAGTTATCAGATTTTTCAAAAAGTCTGGTTCTGTGTATGTTAGGGGATCCCAAGATTAGTGACACCGCGCTCTGTGTGTGATGCATGTAAGGGAGGACGACAAAGATGAATTAAGAATTTAAAATATGTAAAAAACTGACAGAAACTGGACTAACCAGAATGTTACATCATTCTTTTTCTTTCAGGGGCAGTGCTTGTGCCTGGTTCTACTCAGCTCAGAGAGATGGATATCAGAGACAGACTGGAGAGCTCCAAAGCTGTCTGCATTATTACAGATGAAGAAATCTCACATCTGGTTGATAAGGTAGGAACCTAGGAGGGAAATTTGAAACCATTGAACCCCTTCTCATGACAGTTTCAGAAATGTGTTTGTGTAATTCACCCTACCACAAATACAATGTATGGCAGTAGATAGTGACCTTTCTTCCACACTGCGCAGGTCAGTACATGCGCAGATCGATACGGCACTGGGGAAGAAGATAAGACAATGTTTCTTGCAGCTACCATAGAGAATAAACAGCAGTGTTTACTTATTCCTTATTTTACTTAACTATTGTTCAGCTTTGATGACCTCAGTGATTTGATGAGATTTATGTAAACACCATCATAATCTATTGCTTAGGGCAGGGTCCATCTGGGTCAGTTTGTAGTCAACAGTAGAGAGCTGCACCATACTGTTAAAGCAACTCACATCTCCCTTAGTTTTGCTGTCCCCTCTTTTACGTCCCCCCCTCCCCCCATGTTTGATGGTTGTAAAAAATAATGTTTTGAATGTTATCAGTAATATACTGCTTTTAAAGCCCATGTGCACTACGTACAGCTACTTGCGCCCTCTATATAGCAAACAATGCCTAATTGGTGCCTGTTGGTCCCCCATGATCCCCTTTTTCTCATGTTAATTGAGAGCTGAGATAACCACCTGTCAGTGACCTTGCAGGGAGGTCTAATCCCCCTGGCCAAACTAGTGCAGACATGCTTTAAAACAGCATCCCATCAATGGAGGTTACAATTTGCCAATATTAAATTTTTTTCATTTCATAATCATCTTTCTCAGGTTGTCAAGGATACTGATGGTTTTCAACATAAAATTCTCATCAGAGACAAGGATGAAAAGATCAGAAGCGATAGGTAAGCTTAAGAAGGTTTACAAAATGGCCATTTCTAGAAACTATTGCTATTCTGGCAAGAACCGCTGATGCATTTCATTTTCTTTAACGAATCAATATATCTGTTTATTACAGACCTGGTTGGTTAGATTTCCAAGAGCTTTACGATGCAGCTTCAGATGAGCACGAGGTAAGCTAAACATTTGCCACTCTCAACTCAGGAGAGGTAAAATGGTACCCATTTGAAAGAAATTCCTTGAATGCTGTTGTGCCTTATCATGGCAGCTGAGCTAAAGCAGGGATAAAATATACTTTGTTTTAAGAGCAGTTGCATATATTATCATGAAAGAATTCCTGTGCAGGTAATTGGTCTAGGATGACTCACATGATTTAAAATATTTTCACCATGAATAAAAATGGATATGTTCAACGTTAAAGCATTTTCTAATTCTATGTTGAACTGTATATTTATTGATTGTAAAAATCGGACTTAAACTAGGCCATTCTTTTGATGTAAATAAATGCAGATAAGTGCACTTACCGGTAAGTTCACTTATCTAACATATATTTATGATTTATATTTATTTGATTTTGGTTTTGATTTCTATCTCTTTCAAAACATGTTTTCTTTGCAGTGTGTGAGGACACGAGGTAGTGACCCCATGACAGTTTTCTTTACCAGTGGGACTACAGCCAAGCCTAAGATGGCTGAACACACACATGTTAGCTATGGTCTCGGTCACATCATCACAGGAAAGTGAGTACAAGTATTCCATCCCGTCAAGGAAACCTTGTGTGTGGCCAATATCGAGGGTTCGGTGACACAAAGACGTAACTCCATATTTTGCCAAAATGAGTATTTGAAATAAAAATGTTCAGGAAATTAAATGAAGTCTTTCCAGGAAAAAACAAAGACTTACCGTAACTCCACCCAACACCTCATTGAAGTCAATGGCTAGTGAAAAATAGACTTAACTTCTTAAGGCCTAAGTGGACCTCTAAACTAATTTCTCTCAAAATGGCCAAAATAGAGTTACGTCTTTGTGTCACTGACCCCTCGATATTATGATAATCAGACCCAGTCTCTGAAAGTTGATGGAATATCGTTACTGGCATTTCAGTCCAATTATTAAACCTTTAATAACAAAATTTTGATGCACGGACGTCCCATTTCTGACGTCAGTGAGGCCTTAGAGTTTTAATCGTCTTCAATTAACTTTGAAAGGTTTAAAAAAACAGCATATATCTGGGTCAGTCAGAAAGCGTGACGATCCTTTTTTTCTGCTTTGAAAACTATGTTTTCAATCTTTTGCAATTTATCAATATGATGAGAATGTAATTAAGAGTAAACTGTAAACTTTAAGAATGATTTTCATATTTATGAGATATAGAGTAAAATTAGCAATATCATGATATTTTCACCTTTAAGGGTCAAAATCGTCCAACATCAGCACCAGTCACTTTATTTGTCAAAATTGAGATGTTTCAAACCAAACTGTTCAGAGGTTTTTTTTCCCTGGAGGCATTATGTTTTCGGATTGGCTGTCCATCCCATTTTCTCGTTAACACGATATCACAAGAACCACTTGAGGCAAACCGGATCAATACAAAATAAAGGAAATCTATCTTGACCTCTTTGACTTCTATGATTTTTATCAGTGATTAACAATCAATTTTCATTCCGCTATCGTCCAGGTATTGGCTGGATCTGACGCCGCATGATATCTTTTGGAACATGTCGGACACGGGATGGGCCAAGTCTGCCTACAGTAACGTCTATGCTCCCTGGGGCCAGGGATCCTGTGTTTTTATCCATCATTCACCTAGGTTTGATCCACAACAAACTCTGCAGGTAAGTATAACCAGGTTGAAATTCCAGTTGATACCAGTTGAAACCAGTTGAAACCAGTTGAAACCAGTAAGGATTTCCAACTGGTATCTACCGGTTTGAACTGGTTTGAACTGCATATCCTACTTGGTGTTCACCAGTCTTGGAGGCTAGGAGGTATGTAAGGGTGTTGACTTGGCACTTTGGTGTAGTCAGAGTAACACCCAATGCTCCTAGCCTTATAAGGAATGGCCTATCTTAAAGGTAAAGACCAGTTATGGTCATGCGATTGCATTGTGAAAGAAACGTTGTGGAATCGATCAGAAAAGGTTGATCCTCTAGCATCTAGCATCTGCAAGGTTCTGGAATCATCAAAATGATAAGAAATTTGGCCCATTCTTCGTAAAGTTACAAGCACTATACACAGAAAGATGTATATTTTGGACTACCCTATGTCTCTCACAGTCCATGAGAGATACAAATTTACCAAATATATGAACTTGTAGGTGGTTTCCCGGCAAATTTTTTATCATCATGTATTAGTCAAAACATATTCTTTCACATGATTGGTAATGAGAGCTTCCATTTTATTTTTTGAAATTGGGGCATTTCCAATACTGGTCTTTACCTTTAAGAGATACCATTTATATAACTATATCATTATTTTCTGCTAGAATGTATAAAATCAACCTAAAAAAACTGTACAGTCTAACAATTAAGAATATAAAGTGTAACATAAAAATCCTGAGCATGGAACCGCAATCAAACTCAAGTTCCATATTCAATTCAGGCCAGTATGGGGTGTCTACTGGTAATTCGCTTTTATGTTAAATGAGAGTTTACCGGTAGTTCAACTTGCATACACAGCAAAATATGTTTTAGTGGTTGATACTCACAATAAAATAATGAGAACCACAAGTTGTCCTGACAGTTTCTACAATTGGAGTGGGAGGGTTCTGTCTCAAGATCACAGTGTGCATTTTCATGTAATAACTTCTTGTTGTATTTGGTCATATGCACTCATGAAATAGATACTTGTGAACAAAATGCCATGATAAATCTTCTGTTGAGAGAGAGAAAGAGATAATGGTGTTATCTATTTGTAAAGTGCCGTACTTGAATTGTCGTCTGGCTTTCTGCTGACAATTATCTCTGTGATAAATGTTCCCAGTGATTGTGTGCAATGTACATTGTTAATTGTGAAGTGCCTTGTTGTGGGGCTTGTGTTCCTGAAATGTACTATAAAAGCACAAATTTTTGTTTTTGTTGTTATCATCTTTTTCATTATCATTATTTAACATTTTTTTTATCATCATAATCATCATTTTCATTATCATCATCATCACCATCATTATTACTATCTTCATCATTCTCTCTTTCCCATCTCCTCTGACCGTACCTTCCTGTTTCCAGGTATTCAACGACTACCCGATCTCAATATTCTGTGGCTTTCCGATGGCCTTCACCATGATGATCCAGCAGGATACGTCACAGTATAGTCTAAGATCCTTGAGGGATTGCGTCAGTGCAGGAGATTTCTTGGTAAGATCTTCTGAACAAGAGAGAGAGAGAGAGAGAGAGAGGGAGGGGGGGGGGGGGAAGAGAGAGAGAGGAGAGCCATGTGGCCCTTCGACAGCCTTCACCATGATGATCTAGCAGGATACGTCACAGTATGGTCTCAGATCCTTGAGGGATTGCATCAGTGCAGGAGAGTTCTTGGTAAGATCTTCTGAACAAGAGAGAGAGAGAGAGAGAGAGAGGGAGGGGGGGGGGAAGAGAGAGAGAGGAGAGCCATGTGGCCCTCCGACGGCCTTCACCATGATGATCTAGCAGGATACGTCACAGTATGGTCTCAGATCCTTGAGGGATTGCATCAGTGCAGGAGAGTTCTTGGTAAGATCTTCTGAACAAGAGCTAGAGAGAGAGAGAGAGAGAGAGAGAGAGAGAGAGAGAAGAGAGCCCTGTGGCCCTCCGACGGCCTTCACCATGATGATCCAGCAGGACACGTCGCAGTATGGTCTCAGATCCTTGAGGGATTGCATCAGTGCAGGAGAGTTCTTGGTAAGATCTTCTGAACAAGAGCTAGAGAGAGAGAGAGAGAGAGAGGGGGAAGAAAGAAAGAGAGAGAGAGAGAGAGAGGGAAGAAAGAAAGAGAGAGAGAGAGATGGAAGAAAGAGAGAGAGAGAGGAGAACCCTGTGGCCCTCAGTGTAGGTGAGTTCCTGGTAAGATCTTCATCATCCTTAAAGGAATAGTGGTTGGGGAGTGTGAAGAATTTATATATCGGTGAGCAAGACAAGATGAGACAGAAGGGTTGGGAGGAGAAAATGTGATATGAGTAGATGATGAAAAATATTGGTGAAGCAACATTTGCTCCAGGCTCTTTTTGACAAAGGTATGAGGTCATGGGTAGGGTTGCAATGGGCCACTGGATTAGTTTAAGGGTAAGGATTAAATATATTCTTGGGTCCAGGCTTGCGGTTAAGGTTTTTATGCCTCCGCCACCGAAGGTGGTGCCGGAGGCATCATGTTTTCGGGTTGTCCGTCCGTACGTCCGTCCGTACGTCCGTCCCGTTTGACCGTTATCACAATATCTCAAGAACCATTTAAGATTTAAACTTAAGACTCGGGAATAGTATGTATCACCATAGGAAGACGATCTGATTAGATTTTGGAGAACGTAGGTCAAAGGTCACAGGTCACAGAGGTCAACTTATGAAATTCCTTGTATTGAGTTTGTTAGCGCGATATCTCAAGAACCATTTAAGATTTAAACTTCAAACTTAAGGATAGTATGTATCACCATAGGAAGACGATCTGATTAGATTTTGGAGCACGTATGTCAAAGGTCAAGGGTCACAGAGGTCAACTTATGAAATTCCATACATTGAGATTGTTATCATGATATCTCAAGAACCACTGGTGATTTAAACTTCAAACTTAGTGATAGTGTGTATCACTATAGGAAAGCAATCTGATTACATTTTGGAGCACGTAGGTCAAAGGTCAAGTGTCATAGAGGTCAACTTATGAAATTCCATACATTGAGATTGTTATCATGATATCTCAAGAACCACTGGAGATGTAAAAACTTCAAACTTAAGGATAGTATGTATCACCATAGGAAGACGATCTGATTAGATTTTGGAGCACGTAGGTCAAAGGTCAAGGGTCACAGAGGTCAACTTATGAAATTCCATACATTGAGATTGTTATCATAATATCTCAAGAACCACTGGAGATTTAAACTTCAAACTTAATGATAGTGTGTATCACCATAGGAAGACAATCTGATTAGATTTTGGAGCACCTAGGTCAAAGGTCAAGGGTCACAGAGGTCAACTTATGAAATTCCATACATTGAGATCGTTATCGCGATATCTCAAGAACCACTGGAGAATTTTCACTTCAAACTTAATGATAGTATATACATGTATCACCATATCATAATATCTCAAGAACCACTGGAGATTTAAACTTCAAACTTAATGATAGTGTGTATCACCATAGGAAGACAATCTGATTAGATTTGGAGTACGTAGGTCAAAGGTCAAGGGTCACAGAGGTCAACTTATGAAATTCCATACATTGAGATTGTTATCATGATATCTCAAGAACCACAGGAGATTTAAACTCCAAACTTGTTTAAATTGCTCTATGGCGGAGGCATCATTTTCGACTGCACGCAGTCAAAATTCCATCTAGTTTTTAATAGGCTAGTTTCCCCACAATGATTGTACCTTTTGATTAGGCTAGTTACCCCACAATGAATGTACATACATGCCATTAGATCAATCCTGACCCCCATATCCCTTTGAAAGGGGCGTAGGGGCAAATATTGTGATAATTTGAATAAACACCAATTTCAGGGCCGAAATGGTAAGGGCCGGGGTGGTTCAGCATTTTGGAGGAAAATATTATATTTTTTTAATAGGCAAGTTTCCCCACAATGAATGTACATAAATGCCATTAGTGGATCCTGACCCCCATATCCCTTTGAAAGGGGCGTAGGGGCAAATATTGTAAAAATTTGAATTATCACAACTTTCGGGCCGAAATTAGAAGGTCCGGGGTGGTTCAGCATTTTGGAGGAATATATTATATTTTTTAATAGGTTAGTTTCCCCACAATGAATGTCCATACATGCCATTAGATGGATCTTGACCCCCATATCCCTTTGAAAGGGGCGTAGGGGCAAATATTGTAAAAATTTGAATTATCACAACTTTCGGGCCGAAATTAGAAGGTCCGGGGTGGTTCAGCATTTTGGAGGAAAATATATTTTTTTAATAGGTTAGTTTCCCCACAATGAATGTCCATACATGCCATTAGATGGATCCTGACCCCTAATCCCTTTGAAAGGGGCGTAGGGGCAAATATTATGATAATTTGAATAAACACCAATTTCAGGCCGAAATGGTAAGGGCCGGGGGGGTTCAGGATTTTGGAGGAAAATATATATTTTTTTTAATAGGCTAGTTTCCCCACAATGATTGTACCTACATGCAATTAAATCGATTCTGACCCCCATATCCCTTTGAAAGGGGCGTAGTGGCAAATATTGTAAAAATTTGAATTATCACAACTTTCGGGCCGAAATTGTAAGGGCCGGGATGGTTCAGCATTTTGAAGGAAAAATTATATTTTTTGATTAGGCTAGTTACCCCACAATGAATGTACATACATGCCATTAGATGAATCCTGACCCCCATATCCCTTTGAAAGGGGCGTAGGGGCAAATATTGTGATAATTTGAATAAACACCAATGTCAGGCCGAAATGGTAATAGGGCCGGGGTGGTTCAGCATTTTCGAGGAAAATATTATATTTTTTTAATAGGCAAGTTTCCCCACAATGAATGTACATAAATGCCATTAGATGGATCCTGACCCCCATATCCCTTTGAAAGGGGCGTAGGGGCAAATATTGTAAAAATTTGAATTATCACAACTTTCGTGCCGAAATTGTAAGGGCCGGGGTGGTTCAGCATTTTGGAGGAAAATATTATTTTTTTTGAATAGGTTAGTTTCCCCACAATGAATGTCCATACATGCCATTAGATGGATCCTGACCCCTAATCCCTTTGAAAGGGGCGTAGGGGCAAATATTGTGATAATTTGAATAAACACCAATTTCAGGCCGAAATGGTAAGGGCCGGGGGGGTTCAGGATTTTGGAGGAAAATATATATTTTTTTTAATAGGCTAGTTTCCCCACAATGATTGTACCTACACTATGTACATGCAATTAAATCGATTCTGACCCCCATATCCCTTTGAATGGGGCGTAGTGGCAAATATTGTAAAAATTTGAATTATCACAACTTTCGGGCCGAAATTGTAAGGGCCGGGGTGGTTCAGCATTTTGAAGGAAAAAAATATATTTTTGATTAGGCTAGTTACCCCACAATGAATGTACATACATGCCATTAGATGAATCCTGACCCCCATATACCTTTGAAAGGGGCGTAGGGGCAAATATTGTGATAATTTGAATAAACACCAATTTCAGGCCGAAATGGTAAGGGCCGGGGTGGTTCAGCATTTTGGAGGAAAATATTATATTTTTTTAATAGGCAACTTTCCCACAATGAATGTACATACATGCCATTAGATGGATCTTGACCCCCATATCCCTTTGAAAGGGGCGTAGGGGCAAATATTGTGATTATTTGAATAAACACCACTTTCAGGCCGAAATGGTAAGGGCCGGGGTGGTTCAGCATTTTGGAGGAAAATATTATATTTTTTTAATAGGCTAGTTTCCCCACAATGAATGTACATAAATGCCATTAGATGGATCCTGACCCCCATATCCCTTTGAAAGGGGCGTTGGGGCAAATATTGTAAAAATTTGAATTATCACAACTTTCGGTCGAAATTGTAAGGGCCGGGGTGGTTCAGCATTTGGAGGAAAATATTTTTTTTTTAATAGGCTAGTTTCCCCACAATGAATGTACATACATGCCATTAGATGGATCCTGACCCCCATATCCCTTTGAAAGGGGCGTAGGGGCAAATATTGTAAAAATTTGAATTATCACAACTTTCGGGCCGAAATTAGAAGGTCCGGGGTGGTTCAGCATTTTGGAGGAAAATATATTTTTTTAATAGGTTAGTTTCCCCACAATGAATGTCCATACATGCCATTAGATGGATCTTGACCCCCATATCCCTTTGAAAGGGGCGTAGGGGCAAATATTGTGATAATTTGAATAAACACCAATTTCAGGCCGAAATGGTAAGGGCCGGGGTGGTTCAGGATTTTTAAGGAAAATAATATATTTTTTTAATAGGCTAGTTTCCCCACAATCAATGTACATACATGCCATTAGATGGATCCTGACCCCCATATCCCTTTGAAAGGGGCGTAGGGGCAAATATTGTGATAATTTGAATTAACACAACTTTCGTGCCGAAATTGTAAGGGCCGGGGTGGTTCAGGATTTTGGAGGAAAATATTTTTTTTTTTTAATAGGCTAGTTTTCCCACAATGAATGTACATACATGCAATTAAATCGATCCTGACCCCCATATCCCTTTGAAAGGGGTGTAGTGGCAAATATTGTAAAAATTTGAATTATCACAACTTTCGTGCCGAAATTGTAAGGGCCGGGGTGGTTCAGCATTTTGAAGGAAAAAAAATATATTTTTTGATTAGGCTAGTTACCCCACAAACAATGTACATACATGCCATTAGATGAATCCTGACCCCCATATCCCTTTGAAAGGGGCGTAGGGGCAAATATTGTGATAATTTGAATAAACACCAATTTCAGGCCGAAATGGTAAGGGCCGGGGTGGTTCAGCATTTTGGAGGAAAATATTATATATTTTTTTAATAGGTTAGTTTCCCCACAATGAATGTACATACATGCCATTAGATGGATCCTGACCCCCATATCCCTTTGAAAGGGGCGTAGGGGCTAATATTGTAAAAATTTGAATTATCACAACTTTCGGGCCGAAATTAGAAGGTCCGGGGTGGTTCAGCATTTTGGAGGAAAATATATATTTTTTTTAATAGGTTAGTTTCCCCACAATGAATGTCAATACATGCCATTAGATGGATCTTGACC